TTTTTTTTTTTTTTTTTTTTTTTTTTTTTTTTTTTTTTTTTTTTTTTTTTTTTTTTTCACGATAATAGCTAAGTATAATATTATCCTCCGAAATAACAACTTATGGTGTATCGTCACAATAAATTTGCCTATAGTCGCCGGCACCTATATAACAACCGATAAAATTCTCGTGTAACTCGTCGCAATGACCATCTCTAAGATTGCCACACAATCAGTCCATTTTTACTATAATTTCATTTGTTACTTTTAAATACAACGTACCAAAACTCCTAGAGTTTTTTTTTTTTTTTTTTTTAATTTCCATACCGCAAAATATTGAATTGCGCCACTAGGGCATCGCTCAATCAAACGGATCAAACGAATTTACTGTTCGCCCATCTGATTTAGAACAATTGGCGAGTGGCCACCCAATTTAACCGTATGAGCTTGCACACGCGGCGCTTGTAAATTACACCCATCTGATCTACTCCAGATCGACGGTCCATTTCACGACGATGTACCACCAAATAATTACGCAAGCCGAGAGCTCGAAATTTTTCGACTATAACCAGTTGCACTTCAAAGAGCCGATTCTCTGTTTGAAAACAATATTATGATACACAACTGGTACGCAAATGCAAGGGGTGTATATGTTGTACAAACAGTATCTCTTCGTGTACAAACAATCACAAAGTGTATACTTGATTCACCTACGCGTTATCGTGAAGAAAAAAAAAACAAACAAACAAACAATTTCGGAGAAAACACTTTTTCATAATTAATCCGCGTATATACCTCGTCGAACCGAAAAGTCACCCGCAGCCACACAAACATTAAACACGTACATACACATCCACACGCGCGCGCGCGTTTATTATTATTGTTACGTCAGCTTTCGCTCGAGCAACCACCACCAGCACACAAGCCAGTCATCGTCCCTTATCGTTGTTTAATCAAAGACTCGCGTGCTGTGTACGACATGCATATATGTACATGTATACATATATGATATTATAGCGACACAACTGACCCAGCGCGCACATCGTTCGTACAGCTGGTTAACGGCGGTATGGTTATTCGGGGAACTTGGAGGAAAAATTGTGTGTTCGATCAGTCTTATATCGGACGCGATTCCGTGCACTGGTCATTTTTACATTGCGGGACAAGCATGGCACTTGATTGAGCAAAGCGGGACGAGTACGACAATTTTGTGACAAAATTCGTTCGAGCCGGTCGAGTGGACACGTGTTTGGACTTTCGCGAGAGTTGCGCTAAAAACAGAAAAAAAAAAAAATGCAGGAAGATTTGGAAAACGCGACGATCGATGGGGCGGGAGTTGGTGAAGCGACAAAGGTACACTCACGGAGCAAATACTTGCCGATCGAGAAACAAGCCCCGATTTCGGTTTCAGGAAGCCAAGGACCAACATCAGGAGGAGGAGGAGGAGGAGGAGGAGCAGCCTGTCCAAAGAGAGGAGGAGGACTCCGAGATGAGGAAGTCAAAGGAGCACGGGCCCAACGAGAGAACGGCCCTGAGGCCGAGGATGAAGTTGGCCTCGTTCGACGACGCGCTGCCCTACGTCGGCGATTTCGGCAGGTACCAGCTGTACTTGCTGATAGCACTGTTGCCCTACAGCGTGGCCTACGCCTCGCTCTATTTTTCCCAGTTTTTCCTGACCCTCGTGCCGAGGGAGCACTGGTGCAAGGTCGACGAGCTCTTGAATGTCCTCACGCCCGAGCAGAGGTGAGATTATACATGCTTTGTTGGTGCTTACGTTTTTGCGGCCAACGGTACAGGGGATTTCTTTTTTTTTTTTTTTTTTTTTTTCCATCCAGTAGACCACTCGAAAGCCGAGTATTTTGCAACCATTTCCGAACGCATCACTGATGTTTTGGGGAGCACAAAATCACGATTAAATTTTCAAATCAATTTTTCCTTTACAACTCATAACAAAAAATAATGGTGAAACGGGGGAGAAAAAAAAACCGTTACTTACCTAACGACAATAAAAGTAATCCCCCGGTGATTCATCCGCAGGATAGCCGCAGCCATACCAAAAAGTACCAACTACCCGTACTACCAAACCTGTCGACGCAAGGATCTCAACTACCGTGAGATCGTGGGAGGAGGCGTGCCGGGTCCAACCTCGAGGATTTGGACGACCAATCAGACGCTGGGCTGCGACAGTTGGGAGTACAACCTCACCCAGATACCCTACGCCAGTATAGGCGCCGAGGTGACGTGTGACGAGTGCACACCCGATGTCACCTATAATTGTACACCCTCCCTTCGATCGAAAACCTTTTTTTTTTTATATGATACGTTGAACCGCCCCATGTACATTTCTTTCTCTCTCTCGCGATCGAAAGCAACGCTTTTGTACTATAGGCAAATGATTATGTCCATTGATTCAGCTAGACTGGGTATGCGAGCGCACCTACCTCATTTCGACGGCCCAGGCGATATTCTATTGCGGCTCGATAACCGGTGGCTTCCTCTTCAGTTGGATCGCCGATCACCGCGGCCGCGTCCCCGCTCTGGTACTCTGCGCCGGCTGCGGCCTTGTCGCCTCCATCGCCACGGCCACCACCTCGGCTTTTTGGTCCTTTGCCCTCTGCCGGTTCTTCACCGGATTGGCCTTCGACAATGTCATCAATATTCCCCTCATCATTGGTATGTTTTTTTTTTTTTTTTTTTTTTTTTTCGCCAATTTATTCGACAACGGCACACGTAGTTATTGAAAGAGAGAATCAGAGTGATTTTTTTTTTTTTTTTTTTTTTTTCGTCTCCACATCCGATGATATATTGATCGGTATATATTATGCCTCCCTAGAGACTCTTTATTGGCGTTTTATTTGCGCGTTGATTAGACTCGATTGGGGGCAAACGCATTACCGATCGCAGTATTATTCCGTTCGTCGAGAGATGGTTGGGAAATTTCCTTGGTCGAGTTTCACAAGGCGATGACCGATGAATTTCTTTTTCTTCTCAAAATATGCGAGACTGAAAAATACAATTTTCCTTTTTTCCCCCCCTCCAGTGGTGGAGTACATGGCAGTGAGGCGTCGCAGCCTCGTGGTGAACATCGCTTTCGGGGTGTACTTCGCGATCGGCAGTACCCTGTTGCCCTGGTTGGCCTACTACATAGCCAATTGGCGGCTCTTTTGCTTCATAAGTGCCCTGCCGCTCGCCACCTGCTTCATCACTCCCTGGATTTTGCCCGAAAGCGCTAGGTATACTGCAATTGTATCACGTCGGATTTGACGTATCGTTGATTGCTCGATTTTTTTTTTTTTTTTTTTTCCACCCAGATGGTACGTATCCAACAGAATGTCGGACAAGGTCATTGAGAAACTCAAGAGGATAGCCAGCGTGAACAAAGCCAAACCCGATCCCAATTTTTACAGCGTTCTTTACGTAAGCAGCGAAACAGGGCAAGGGACATTTTTGTCGATTTATATAAAAAAAAAAAGGAGGTCATAAAACGATTAATTCTATCGTTTCAGAGAAACCTCAACTCGTCGGACAACAAGACGGAATCGGCCACCCTGATCGACCTGTTCAAAACGCCGAGACTCGCCAGAAAAACGATCATCCTCACGGCGTTCTGGTAAGTATATAGTGGAGAGAAATGGCTCGCATGTATATGGATTGAAAAGAAAAAAAAAAAAAAAAAAAAAAAAAATGATCGGTTTTCAGGGCTCTGGTGGTAACGGCGTTCGACGGCCACGTGTACTCCCTGAAGCTCCTGGACAGTTCGGTGTTTGTCTCGTTCTCCCTGGCCTGCGCGACCGAGTTGCCGGCCGGACTCCTGCTCGCCCTGATAATCGACCGGTGGGGCCGAAGGTTTTGCGGCTTCATCACCATGTCCTCGACCGCCTTGTTCAGCTTCGCCGAGATACTCCTCGACTCGAGTAAGTTGTGATTCGGTAAAAAATAAAGAAAAAGTGTGTATGACCGAGTGACGTGTGCGAAAAAAAAAAAAAAAAAAAAAAACAGGCGAAGCGAAACTGGCCATGTCCATATCGTCCCGGTTCGCTCTGAACATGGCAGCCAACGTGGGACTGCAGTACGCCGCTGAGTTGCTGCCCACCCCCGTGCGGGCTCAGGGAGTCGGGATGATTCACATTGTCGGGATCCTCGCGCACTCCATAGCACCTTACATCGTCGACACCGTGAGTCATGTTTTTTTTTTTTTTTTTTTTTTTTTTCCATCCAGAAAAACTTTCACGGTTACGTTCCATCGGCCCGGCGTCGTGTCCGATCGGTGATTAACTCCTTTCGCGCCTCATTGTTTTGCGATCATTACGTCAATGGAGGCGATGGCACAAAAAACGCGCTTGGAGTAATCTCGCAATAATTGAAAAATTAATTGAATCATTTCAATTTGCAACGGGAGATTGCAGTGCCCGTTGGTACAAACATCAGTGGCGAATCAAAGTATACGTGTTTATATATCGATGGTACGAAAACGCCAAGGTGTACATATGACATATAAAATGTATATCGCGTGGTTTAGTCGTTAATACGTGGGATAGGCGATAAGTTAGTAAACTAATTAGCCGGCTCGCCGACAAAGCTCGAAAAAGAGAGTCCCTGTGTCGCCGGCGTTTTTGCCTTTTGCATGTCTCGGACTCTCCCCCTCCTCTTTTTCTCATTGCCTCTCTTGTGTTTGTTCCGCTCTTTCGGCCATTCGATTTTGCTCTCCCATTCTCCCTTCGATACTTTTTTGTTGTTTTACTGTTCTCCAGAGGTGTATTTGTCTCTCCTTTACCACGAAGCGTTTGCTCTACAGCCAATTGTTTTTCTTTTTTCATATTCCTACTCATTTCATAATCATATTTACTAATTGTAAAAACATCTTACGTAACACACAAGCTGTATGGGTCAGATAGTAGATGTTTTGATTTTTGCAGTTGTCTCATATAATACAGTGCTTAAACCTCTACCTGTATCTTTGTCACATACGAGGGGTTGCACACTCTTGAAGTCATTAAAAAAGACTTGATAAGTCGTTCAAAGACTTTAAAAGTCTCAAAAAGGCTTTGGAAGGTAGCCTCCCATGCATATCTGCATAAAAATCAACAAACTCTACTTATACCAACGTCAATACATGACATAACGTAATAAACAGCATAAACCTATTTTTTTTTTACACACGGTTTGGTATTATTAATGCAGCAAAACACATGCAAACTGCANAAAAAAAAAGAAGAAAGTCTTACCAACAATCGCAAGTAATATTACATGAAAAACGAACAAGAAATGTATCAATTTCTAATACGTATTATATATAGGTACGTATGACACAACTTTTAATATACTTCCAAAACTTTATCCGCATGCATCATCACAGTTAGCAATACTAAGGCGCATCGTCACATAGTCGGCCCCTTCAAATAGAAGCAGTGCTCATCCTGTACAAACTGCCATGACTGAAGCCCATGTTCACCTCGCCCTGCTTTCTTCTGTACTTTTTTTTTTTCTCCTGCGTCCTGTAGGAAAAAAAAAAAACACATCTCTCTCTCTCTAAAGTGCAATAACAATTAATATAGATAGCATATACTCACGCTTTTACGCAAGGGATCCACCAGAAGCTCTGCTCCTTGCCGAACACGTTGCCCTCCTCGAGCGTCTCCGGCAGCTCCTGGTCTATCGTCTCGGGTAGCGTCAAGGCGAGTAGCGCGGCGAGGATGGACAGGGCACCCAGCGCTATCAGAGGCAAAGATGGATGGACGTTCGCCTGAAACGAGCAAAAAAAGGCACTCATTTAGCGTTGTTTCAACGAAAAAAGCCCACGACATTATCCTTACCAGGTAGACGATGTAGGGCCCCATGATGTGAGCAAAGTATCCGCAAATGTGGATCAGTGAAATACCCTGAGCCCGGACTACAGTTGGCAACATTTCGGCCGCCCACTGGAAAGCTATGTTAGTCGAGACGTTGACACCGAGGCGAGCGATAATGGCCATCGTCATGGCTGGAGCTCCTGTGCCACCAAAGTTTATTCGTGACAAGAATTATGTGTAATCTCGCGTGTAACCAAGTGGGACCGAATATTTCATACTCTCTCACCCTTGGCCTGTCCAACGGCGACGAAGGAGAATACACCGCACAGAAACATGAACATAAATCCCATCCAGCGTCTGCCCCACCTGTCCAAAAACAGGGCCAATATTATGGCTGCTGGTAGTTCCGTCATGGCAGCCAAGGAGAACGACGTGAAAACGTCCGAGTGCAGGAGCTTCATGTTCCACACGTGGCCGTCGAACACGAAAACAATCAGTAACCTGTCGATCAAAATAAACTGTTGATTAATTCGTTCCAGATTGCAATTGGACGTCCAAATGAGTGATCAAAATGGCCATGTGGCAAATAAAAAAACTCACCACATAACAACGAGGACAATGGTAATGCGAGCCTGGCGCATTCGTTTGAAGAGATCGAGGACCGTGTGGTTGTTGCCCTGCTCGGTTCCACCCAGCGTGGCACGGCTGCTCCTCTCGAATTCCTCGTAAACCTCAGGTGGCACGCTCTTCTTGTTCACTTTCTCGAACTTCTTCAGCATCTCCACGGCCTTGTCCACTCGGCCGTTCGTTATGTACCATCTGCACGGACATTACACGATCCATCGTTTTTATTTCAAAAGCAACATAAACTCGAGAGCTCATCCCCNAAACCTCAGGTGGCACGCTCTTCTTGTTCACTTTCTCGAACTTCTTCAGCATCTCCACGGCCTTGTCCACTCGGCCGTTCGTTATGTACCATCTGCACGGACATTACACGATCCATCGTTTTTATTTCAAAAGCAACATAAACTCGAGAGCTCATCCCCACGAAGATATATAGAGAAAGAAAGTGCAAATCACAAGCCTAGCGCTTTCGGGAACGATCCAGGGGGTGACGAAGGCCACGACGAGCGGCAGCGCGCTCAGTACGCTCAGCATCTTCCAGTCCCTGATCCAGTAGGCGATCCAGGGAAGGAGAGCCGAGGCTATCGCGAAGTAGATCCCAAAGGACATGTTGGCTATGAGCGTCCGGTACTTTGGCCCCACGTACTCGATCACTGAGAAAATCGTAAACGCCAAGTGTATGGATGTACAACTACTTGTGGGATTTGGTACCGATGATTTTCCCTACCGATGATGAAGACGATGTTGAAGCAGTTGTCGAAGGAAGTGCCCACGACGAATCGGGCCAGCGCGAACGTCCAGAAGTTGTGGCAAAACGCCGTGGCGATCGAGGCAAAGAAACCGACGCTGTTGCAGGCGACCAGAGCTGGTAATCTGCCGTAGTGGTCGGCTATGTAACCGAAGATAAGACCACCGATTATACTGCCCGCGAAAAAGGCCGATTGGGCTGCTGAGCCGAGGAACGCTTTTCCGCATACCCAATCTTCCTGTGGGAGCGAAGATAAATTTACTTTCGTACTTGCAAATTCAATTTTTTCCAACTCCTCTCTTGTTTGACCCAGGAATACGTTTTCTTTCATTCCCAATTGAACTACATGATGCACGCAATACTTTTCCAAAAATATTTTTGTGCTCCCAATAAAATTCTTTCCAAATATTTTCGATACTTTAACATCAATCATATAATTTGAGAAAAATTTCAAATCATTCCATCGATCATTTTCCAAGGACATTTATTATCTTCTTCTATGAAAAAAAAAAAAGATGTGGAGAAAAGTTTCTGTTACCATACTATTTATACATTACAGACGAACCATGTTGAACATTCTTTTAAATATCTAAATATTACTTTTATCCCCTACGTTTTTTTCAGGCATCACTTACATTATCTAAAAATAATAAAACCAAAGGTTTGAAAGTAAAGAAGTCAAATTATCATTGATGGTCTTTCAAGAACCACTTTTAATTCAAACATAACCGGATAAATCCGATTAGTGCTAAAATTTTTTCCTCGCCCTACTTGTTTTGCATTGCAAATATTATAGTACGTGCAGAATATTAAAAACGCCCTTCAAGTTTCTCTCGACAATTTTTCACGTAAACTGAAATTCATAGATTTATCAGAATGGCCTGAAATCACGTTTATCAACACATTCACTCAATAAATATAAAAAAAGTTTCGCATTTCCCTCAAGTAGTTCAAATTAAAAAATGAAAAAAAGTGCTTTGAAACATGTATACCCATGAAAACCCACCTCCGAAGCGATGGACATGTACGGCACGTTCGTCAAATCGTAGCTGTGGCCATATTTGCATTCCCCAATGGGCCATTTCGGATCTGCATGGGTCAAGTTTTTCAACAACACTTCCGTATAATTCGTAAGGTACATCCTACATCTCGAGTACGGGACAGGTGACTCCGAGGCAGCCTCGGTGCTGTTGGCCGGAGGTATGGACAACGCGATCCTACGAACCATCGTGATGAGTTAACGTGCACGCCGATTCTCGAGTAGCAAGGTGGTATCAATAAAAAAAAAACAAAAAAAACGTACTTTTGCTCGTTTGTAAAACTAGTGTTGTCGAACTCGGGTACCCTGCACCAGTACTCCTCGGGCAGCAGGGTCATGAAGAATTGCCCAAAGTACAAAAAAGCGTAGACCAACGTGAAGGGGAGCAGAAGGAAGAACAGGAACCACTGGTAGCGTCCAGCCTCGCCGATGTAGGGCAGAATATCATCGAAAGTCTCGATTTTCGGTCTATTCGAGACCCGACCCTCGTCCTCCTGCTGCTTCCGTTTGTCCAGAGTTGGACTCATCCTTGAACATCAAATCTTTTACGTACACTTTTCGCTGTTTCAACCCACAATCTTTTTATCAAATCAACATCACCATGGCTATAGTTGATAAAAAAAAAGAAAACACCCGCGCGGGTGGCAATCGCGATAAAACGATTTGAAATCGGTGGAAGATACCGCACGATTTCGTCGAGCCAGGAGTTCGCGATCGACTGGTTCTCCGACCGATAGCTCGGCTCTTATATATGTACTTTTAGCGACACGCTTATCTAGCGCCTTTTTTTTTGCATAATGCCACGAGATCTCCCTCGAGTGCAGTTCTGTTGATGCGCGTATTAACATCCGATACGCCGATTTTTTTTCATGCTTTGTTGGACATCATTTAATGCCTCAACAGTCGAATCGGTATGAGTAAGTAGCGATTGTTCTTCGTAGATGGATTATTTTGGGTATCAAAGGGATTTGGCCTTCCGTGTACTTACGGTATCAAGATCGTTTTGTCTTTTTTTGCTCTGATAACGATATCCGATTTATAAATAGAATGAAGCTTGATTTTTTTTTTTCAAGATCGATCGAGCTAACTTGATTGTTGCATGGATTTTATGGATTATAGTGAGATGTGCAATTTTTGAAATAAAATACTTTCACTGGTCAAACTTGGCTATTGAAAGAGTCAAGGAAACATCATGTGAAATGTAAGAATAGTTAAAAAATGCGATGTGCATTATCGAATGAGCACATGTGGAAACTGTGGCCAGGTATATAAGTAACAACATATACCGATCTGATAAAAGTGTCTTTGGCAATGAATAAGCACAAGCGGTTGTTTAAAAATAATCGAGTGATCTATCTAGTGATCTTCATCATTTTCCTGCAAGTGGGAAGGAAGAAGGTGCTTTTAAAAACTTGGGAATAACTGTTGATTCAATACAAGTAAACAAATGAACATGATATTTTAAATAATATTAATAGTATTTTTCTTATTATGTAACGTGTCTAGAACTGTATCAACATTATCATCGTTAATAATACCACTGGTACACACATCTCATTCAAGACACGTAGAAATTTAGAAAGACACGCGACTGTACAAAGTTTACTCGCTAATACATGTACGCGTTACTTCGTTACCACTTATTTGTGAAATTAATCCATTTAAATATGCTGTGACGAGACCTCGTCTCTTCTTTTTTTTTTCTTTTTTCAGCATACCATTAATACATTCCACATGCAACTCTGCTCTACGCAATGAAACAATTTTTGACTTTACAACTAATAAATTTCAATATCGACATCCACGATGATGATATATTTTAAATAAGCCGACAAAACATCGGACAATAATACTTACGTTCCAAGATACAAAAATACGTTCAAGGCACAAACTTCATCTACTTACACGTACATTATATATGTATAACGATGATAACAATGTTAATCATAATATAATAAATTGGCTACAGCTTCACGCGCAAAAGGGGCTCGGGGGCATAAGTACTCTAAGAAAAACACCGCACAAACATAAAACAAATCGATGATTCGCGCTTTCTCTCTTTTCTTCTTCGCCACGAACCCGGCCGAGTTTAGCCGGCATCACCAACTACATAGTTTTGGAATGTTGTTGTCATCACTTGGAAAAAAAAAAAAAAAAAAAAAAAACCAACACATACAGAGCACCAGTGCCGGTAACCGGCTGTAGTCTACACGAAAATTGAAAATCAACTATCTAGAGGAATATATACGTATGCATTTGCAAAATCATTGATTTCACTACTTCAAGTTTTCGCTCTTTTGTAACGACACACACATGCACACCCACGCGTTTCACCCTGCACTCGCATAATACATCTCGCTAAACAAACAACGTATACACTACTAATCACAGCGCGTCGATTGATCCTTCCTCTCCCTCTCTCTCGATGTACGCACCACTGTTTTCTTTACTTGCGCGGTCCTCTCATTCTTGTACTCCCGTTCTCTGTCCGTAATAATCACGCACCGGGCAGTGGAGAAAGGAAAAATTCTCTTTTTTTTTTGTCCCATCGACGCCATCCACCTTCGATTGCAAGGACACCTCGTCGCAAGCTATATATATTTACAATGGGTCGCGACAAAGGTCGAATTAATATAGGTGTTTAGCCAGGAAATGTGTTATAATCTCGTCGACTCGACCCTCTGCAAACTGCCGGGGTTGAAGCCGGCGTTCACCGCGCCCAGTTTTTTCCTGTACTTTTTCTTCTTTTCCGGACTCCTGCGTGGAGAAAAAAAAAAAAAAAAAAAACACCAAGCACATTTTAAGAAAAATTACACACGAAATTCAATGTATATATATTTGACTCACGCTTTTACGCAAGGGATCCACCAGAAGCTCTGCTCCTTGCCGAACACGTTGCCCTCCTCGAGTGACTCCGGTAGCTCCTGGTCTATCGTCTCGGGTAGCGTCAGGGTGAGGGCCGCGTCGAGCAGCGACAGCACCCCGAGAGTTATCAGAGGCAGCGCCTCGTGGGTATTGGCCTTGAAACATCGCGGAAATAAAAAAAATTACATTTGCAATGGCACCACCTTGGGTGCGGGTATATTTAAAAAAAAGCGGTCAACCTACCAGGTAGACGATGTAGGGCCCGATGATGTGGGCAAAGTACCCGATGATGTGGATCAACGAGACGCCCTGAGCCCGGACCACGGTCGGTAGCATCTCCGCGGCGTATTGGAAGCCGATATTGGCGGCTATGTTGACGCCGAGGCGAGCGATAATGGCCATCGTCATGGCCGGCACACCTGCTCGCGACACATTTTTCATTCGATCAATAAGATTATTGGCTTTTTGTACCTGGTCACACGAGTACGTGGAATAATTGATAACACTACCTTTATCTTGTCCAATGGCGATGAAGGAGAAAACGCCGCACAGGAGCATGGAGGCAAAGCCCATCCAGCGTCTGCCCCACCTGTCCAAAAACAGGGCCAATATTATGGCGGCTGGTAGCTCAGTCATCGAGGCGATGGAGAACGACGTGAAAACGTCCGAGTGCAGGAGCTTCATGTTCCACACGTGGCCGTCGAACACCAAAACTATCAGGAGCCTGTGGATGAGACAAAATGTAACATTGATTTCGTCATCCGCGGAGGGGTCCGGAAGAAAACGAAAAAAACCATAATGAGCGAAGGAATGAAAAAAAAAAAAAAAAAAAAAAAAAAAAAAAAAAAAAAAAAAAAAAAAAAAAAAAA